AAATATACTATATCATTTTTTACTAGTTCTTGTTTCTCGGATGAACCGGGAATTTGGATAAGGCAGTTTTGTTTACGTCCATCTCTCGGCCTATATATTAATGGAACTGGTGTATTTGGATACTTAATACGATGGAGTTCAAGGCATTTTTGCGATGCAATTCTTCGAGATAGGCGATGTGCTGATAATATGCGATCTGAGGGAGTCCATTCTTTTTCGAGACGTTCCCATTTTTCTATAGTCGGGAGAATTCCTCGAAATAACTTTGATTGTATTCGATTATTTTTGCGACGCATGCCTTTTTTGAGTTTACGTAATTTGGGACATTTTGCGCGATAATCAGTTAAGACTTCTTCATAATAATCGGATCGGTACACTCTTTTAACCAATTATGTGGCATTTCTCCGAAGAATGGCGGAGGTTGTGCATCGTCACCACAACAAATTACCTGGCATTTATGTTCTAACAAATAATTAATGAACATTTCAAGAATATGCTTAGAAACTGTACATACCTCATCCCAAATAACAACTCGTGGGAATTTCTTCTCTCCCATGCGCTCAGGTGTCCATTCTCCTACACCATTCCATCTAAAGAAACTATGCCAGGTTTGGGCTCTCACGCCACGCTTGTCTCGAAAATCTTTAGCTAATGCATTCGTATGTGTAAAGACAATCATACTTACACTTTGATAGACTCGAATTCCACGTGTTGTTTTACCTGATCCGCCTCCTCCATTGAGATATGAATTTCGATATCGCGTAATAGGATCATGAATTGATGGAGCTGTACTATCTGGAATATCTTTGATCGATTTCCAATGCCTATTCTTTGGCCAGTATACAATATCTGCATTTGGACCATATATTTTTTCACCCTTGTCACGCCATTGACCAGGTTGAATTTCCCGGACTTCTGGTTGATGTGAAAGAGCATAGGAGTTTGGTCTATAAAACCATTCCCCAAAACAAAATCTGCAAATAAATGGTTTATGTCTTTTACAATCATATTTTACTAGAGGCCTTTTTATTTTTAGAAACTCTTTAATCCATTTTGCGTATTCTGATTTTGAAATAAGTAATTCTTCTGGATCGCTACACATTGCACAAGTAGGATAGTGCGAACATAAATTTAGATCTGACTTTACCTCAACTTGCTTGAAGAATGCCGGTATATTTTCGATCTTATATAAAGCCTCTTTTCTTACATACAGTATTAGTGCGAGCATCCTTGTTATGGTAAGAAAAAATTTTTTTCGCTAATTTGACATCAATGCTTATATTTCCGGCAATTATGCTGGGCAGATTCTTGGCGTTTGTAGACGAGTTTTGATCGACTGTTTGTCTGAGGCTATTAGCGTCAAATTCTGTAACCTCTTCACTACATGCCGTTGAGAGCCAGATTCTTGCGTCCAAGAACGAGGCCGAAAAAGGAGTAGCACGACGGTTATTCTCGGATGAAATTCATACTTGCAATCGCATTGGGCTTTGGGCGGATCTAATGGCTCACGAAGAGTTGTTAGAAGACCAATACATTCGAACTTTCGTTTGCAACCTTATCGGCCGTGTGGGCGGAGCGACGAGTCTACAGGAGCAAATCAACTACATTATCAAGTACCGTCCTCTTCGTGCCAATTTCTTTTTATTTTTATGTCCACAATTTTGGCGTACTCAAGCCCTCAGATGAACAGGTGTTGTTAAAAATACATCTCAATAGAGCTACAACCAATAGTTCCGTAGCGTATACGAAATTACCAGTAATTTGCTTATTGAAAGTACATACGTAAGATTGGAGGTCCACGAAGTATAAGTTAGACGAATTATTCTATGATTCCATAGATGATTGCATTGGAGGTAGAATGACATGCAATCACATTCAATTATTTGAGTTGCGCTGCGTGCTAATTATCGCCCGGAATCTGTTCCAGAAAATAGGCCTAATGGACAACGTTAATGAAATTATTTCAAAATACGCTTCCGAACGCGGTTTAGCCACTTTCGCGGCCTGAGGTCGGCTTTCCCGGTCGGAAAGAAAAAAGCGGCGAGTCCCTTTATGTCGGACATCTCGCGTACGCAAACGATTCCGGAGTTATGCGGTCCACTACCATCGATGACGCTTGATTTAACGGCCGGATCGACAGTTCTCTGTCTGGATGAGTTCCAAGTCACGGTCGCAGCTGACACACGGGCTTTTCGATCGTGGTGTTGTCTTGGCCATCACTTCTAACAGCCCTTCAGGCGACACGTGAATGTCAGAATGAAATCGCACAATTTTATCATAGCAAGCTTACTAGAAATACTTGGTTGATTGTTGCGGAAAACGTCAGCTGCAAGGTATCTCTATGACAAACTCTACCTAAACAAGGGCGGCGTCTGGATATAGTCAGTATACGTAGGCGTGTATACGGTGTATATTTGACGTTTAACCGATAACTTTGTTGCTTATTAGATGTGTAGCTTGCTGTGCCTCCGTACACTTCCACGTAAAGATCTCATCAAAGAATGCTGTCTTGATTCGGTTACAGACTCGTCAAATATCAGGTGAAATTGTACTTTGCGTTATTAGAAGAGCAGTCGGGGAGAGAGATTGAGGAACTTATTATTTGTCGAAAGGGATGCTGAAAGCAGTCCTGATATGCCTCAGGGCAATGACAGTTGCAGCAGAGTTCACGTTTAAAGAGTTACGCGAAATCCTTTGAGTGCACGGCAGATATTTAGAGGAGTTGGTGAGATGAGACGTCACTGTACTTGCACAATATAGTCATTACTTGAGAAAGAATGGAAAAGAATTACAGCTTTTTTTTTCGAATGAAAGTCGGCTTTTCTGTCCTGACCGTGAATATAAACTGAGTTGACGGGCTTGGCAAGTTGTTATGTAGATGCCAAGGAGGATTAGAATGAGATCACTATGTGAAAGATTTAGGAATGAGATCGACCTGGCAATATTTTCGCTGCCGATTCTGGAAGTGGTTCGCGGGTTCAACTAGTCTTCTTAAAGACTTGAAATCGATGTTCGTCAGATAATTGACTTTCTCCTCCTAATAGTTCAGGGCTTCTTTTCAATGGAATATTTCTGCAAAGTTGCATCTGCCTTTTGAACTCGCACTTTCCCCATTCACATTGACACGATTTCGTCTGACAGTCTCGTTTCATTCAAATATCAAATTGATCCACCGAACGACCAGTTCATAAGCTAAACTGTATCTGAGCATCTTGCATATAAAATCCGCAAACTTCAGAAATTCGTGCGAGGGCTCTAATTCCCCATCAGCAGCACCATACTGGCTAGTACTGGTACCAAATACATCCGCTTTATCTTTCTATATGAAATCAATCTCATGTTTTGTCGTCTGAAGATTTGAATTCTCGGTCCGCTTATACGGTTAGGCGTAGTCTTTGTATTGTTATTGGATATTAGGCAAAGGGAGAGTATCGTTATATATACGGGATTTCACGATTGTCTCGATGCTTTAGCATTCTGTCGTGAGTGAAATTCGACTAAATCAAAAAACAATTGATAGCTGTTAGACCATTTAGTGACTCAAAAGATCGTATACTTGTAGAAACGAATACAAAAGTATCCATTCAGCAGCACTCCCAATTCGAACATCATAGCCTCACCATTATTATGTTCTGTCACTTCACCCTTCTACACGTTCTCTTATCCTGCCTTCTTTCTATTCTACCTGCATCACCAGTCAGACATTATCTTACGTTTTCTACGATATTCTTCTATACATCCTGCGTCACAATCAAACACCGGTTGGGTTCTTTTAGTCACATGATAGATCAAATACTCGTTTTACATTAGAGTTTATATTACAACATTCTTCTTTTTTTCCGAGTCATTTCTAGTTTTGTAACCTGATGCCCCATTGTTTTTGTGTGATACATATATGCAGCCAATTACAGTTTGTGATATTTTATAAACGCCTTCTTCCTTATAGAATTACCAAAATAACACTTATTTACAGCTTCATGCAGTAACCTATCGTAAGATAGTATAATCAAAGATGGCTTTCATTTTCATGTGGTTGTTTATAAATACATTGAGCCCTAGCCTCAAGGGAAAAAGCATTAACGGAAGGACCCGGGTGACACTGAAGGCAGGTCTTACAACGATGTAATAACACAGGTCAATCCAACATATGGCAATAAATGTCAAATGTCTGTTACAAGTGGAGGAGGGAGGGGTATTGGGTGTAGTATAATATTGATATATAACGTTCAATCGACAGCTGAGGTACTATATTTTTAACCAATTTATCCCCAACGTTTCTAAGAAGACTGCTTACAATGAGAATAATGTAATAATCCATTATTGATTGCATTCATGTGACTGAAGTTGAGTTGGCTTAGTATTACTTAAACTGGATAGATTCGGTCTCACTTTTCCGAAAAAGTATGGACTACTCTATAATCCCACCAATTAAATTTATTCAAGCTTGTTTGATACCGAGTTTTAAGGTCCAAAACAGATAATAATGGCAATAAACCTAGAAAACATGAACGTCGCTCAACAACCAATACTCTGCTTGTGTAAAAAAAGACTGCATAAGTTGTGTCAGCGAAACAAACATTGTTGTTGGGGGAAGGGGCTGAAGAATGTCATGCAAATCTGTGCAACGTGGTTCTTCAAACAGTGTGGGATTCGAGCAAATTAAATGTATTCGCGATTAATAATGGACAATCAATTCGTTAAAATAATAGTAGAATTTTATTAGGGTCATCGAATTTTATTTAATAAAACTTTTTTTACAATTATCTGGTTGTTTCTAACACAGCGTTTTCAAGAACAAAGTTCTAAAGCAAACTTACTGTAATAATAAGATACAAGCTGCTCGTCCTTAGTCTTGTGCTACTACAATACTTATCTCATTGTGTTTTCCCCAAAGATGTAACTTTTGCATGTCGTTTCACGTAACCTTTTGCATGAAAGGAATATGACTTGTCACAAGATTGAGGCTTAACGATGCATTTACTGTGTTATCATGCGATTACATGATTCTTGTACTGCTGTTGCCGAGTAACTAAGCAACATTTATTATGATGACCAGCATCTTATCGATTAATTAATTTATGGTGGTGTAAACAATAAAGTAACAGTCATGTTAATTAAAGCACAACGAGCCCCTATCTTTGTATGCAGATGGTGCCCTCAGAATGATACTATATTAAAAAAAATCTAATACTTGTGATAATCATAATAAATACCAAGCCACTCAATCTTGCAAGAATCAATAATTAAATATCGGATTAATGTAAGCATACATTGGACTATTATCTAATCATGGTATGATACATATTTTAACTTGTATCACAGAAAAAAACAACAGTTGGCACGCACATTAGCAATCCTCCCCCCAAACTTTGTCTAGCTAACGAAATTACGACTATTGATTAATCTAGATGGAGAAGCTTTTCTTTATCGGATATTATATAACCAGAAACCTTCTATGCAAGTAGTTGATGAATAGTATAATGTGTGGGATTAAACTTAGTAACAAGTATGAGTAATATTATTATTAAAGCAATACATTATGCAAAGCATTTACTAATTTACGGTGAAAAGTTTGTCATATCTTTATTGGACTTATAATAATAAATTAAAATTACAAACATGTTTGTGAGTTAAGCCATAGTTTCGCGATTCAAACTATGCTTGATAGAACATCACACATGAGTGTCGATTTCTTGGATAACCGTGAAAGCTAAGCTCTTGAGCGTTGATCTCGTTTCTAGCAGACCAAATCGGCAATTACAGTCGAGATAACCCGTTGTACGTCACAATTGTGAAAGCTAAATTGTGACGTCTTTGAAAACTCCACCTCAAGTGCTGCGTAATTTGATCTCGTCGAACAGACCGAATCACAATTACGGTTGAAAAAATCTGGTTGTTGGCACTGGTCGTTGGACGTCCGTAATACTTTTCGAGGTCGACCGTTTGTAAGTAATTGTAAAAGCTAAGCTGTTGACGCTTTTGAAGAGCTCGATGTAATGACAGTTGAAAGAACCTGGTTGTTGGCATTAGTTTTCACTGGCCGTTGGACGTCCGTAATACTTTTCGAGGTAATTGTAAAAGCTAAGCTGTTGACGCTTTTGAAAAACTTGATGTAATGACAATTGAAAGAACCTGGTTGTTGGCATTAGTTTTCACTGGCCGTTGGACGTCTGTAATACTTTTCGAGGTAATTGTAAAAGCTAAGCTGTTGACGCTTTTGAAAAACTT